ATAAAAGCAATCATTTCAGTATATTTGCGATGTACTTCACACTCGACTGTATCGCGAAACCACACATCTACATGCAGCAATTCCTGGAGAGACGAGGGGAATATGGATTTATATGACGTCCACCTGTGAATTACATTAAACTGAGATCCAATCACAATGCGTCCTCGACTCCGAACCTCGACACACTGATCGAGAACATTCCCATCAGAAGTGTGTGTACACTTGTATTTTCAATGTGTGGTGGACAACATCCAGATACAGGTCGCATGTTAATGCCAAGTGTAAACGCAGCCAGATACGGAGCAGCTCTACACTACAGCAGTTTGTCAAATAAATGCACAGGAAAAATAGCAGAGTAGTTTTTCCAGAGTAATTATTTTTTTCCTCAAAAAGAGTTGTTTTTTATCTATTTTGAGTGAACAGAGTAAAATGTGTCCATAGAGTGGGAGCAAAATTATAGAGTAACTGTGACTCCTCCCCAAAATCTTCTGCTCCCTAAGTTTCGTTTGTCAGCCATTACTGTTCTACACGGCCATCGCGATCGCGATCTGCATTTGGATTTGGAAGAGATCGTTGTGCTACTGCTGGATTTAAAAGTAAGTAGAATTCCAAAGTTTTAGTACCCATTTTCATAAAAATCGCCTCTGTTTTGAGCTCAGATCAATTCCGCGGTTTTTGAACATTACAGAGATAGCTTTCTCATGTTAACTTGATGTGAAGTTTAACGTGACCGTTAAGTTAGTGCTCGACAAGAAAATCACTAACGTTAACGTTAATCACTTGTTTGTTAAATGCAGTTGTACAGCCAAAATGCTAAGCCTATGTTAGTTAACTGGGAAGGCGAACACATAAGGATCACATTTTAAACTGGGCTCAAGATTAAACTAATGGGATAAATTAACTTATTTTTGTAATCACCCCAAACGCAAAGAACGTTAGATGACATAAGTTATAGCTTAAGTAAACGTTAACACTAGTGAAACTAGCTAGCTGCATAATTATGTGTGTCCACTGTCCAGTAAGCGGCTCGAGTTGTGCGCCACATGTACATGACTCTATTAAGAGTTAAGTTAACGTTAGCCTTAATTGGAATGATGGAGGCTATTTATAAGTTATAGCTTACATAAACTTTAATTGACACTATTGAAACTAGCTAGCTGCATATTGATGTGTCCAGTAAGTTATACGTACATTAACGTAACATTACTGTGACGATGAGCGGCTCGAGTTGTGCGCCACATGTACTTGACTCTGTAAAGAGTTAAGTTAACGTTAGCCTTAATGATGGAGGCCATTTTGATGTGGTCATTTTGAGTGTTAACAATGCGTTAAATATTTGTTCATGATGAATAACTTACACATGAACAAATGATTAATGCATTATTAACGCTCTAGTAGAAAATATTAACTAACGAATTCTGATTAATAAATAGTGAGTAATAGCGCTCAGAATGTGTTAGTTCACTATTAGCTAATCAGTAACTTTTTTATACCTCCCATAGGATTACTAATAAATAATAACTACTACTGCTTGTAGGTTCATAATTAACGTGAACAATGCATAATGTATAAAATATTGTAATGTTGGTAACCCACTGATTATGACTCAAGTATTACCAAATAGTTCATAGGGAACTACTTATTATTTGGAACAGTATTCTAAAGTTAAAAGCATGATAACTTCCTTGTAATGAATGACTATTGTAAGCTTTTGATATAATCAGGGCTTCATCTGACTGTGAGTGTTAACGCCTTAACTGTCTTTTTGGTCCCTCCAGAATGCAAACCAACAACGTTGTGAGACTGAGAGTGAAGTTCAAAGACACCAAGAAATATATTTTTTCTCCAACACCTTTTACATTTCAAGAATATGCAAAGGGAATCATCTCCCTATTCCCATACTTGGCAGAATGGGTCACCCAGGATCAAGCTTGGTTATGTACGTAGCTGTTGCCTCTCAATATTTTTGATTTACAGGAGGATGATATACTCTGTATACTGCAGAGTAAAGATTATCTACATTATTATTCATATGGTATTTATTTCTTTAATTGTGTAATGTATAACTACTAGGTCTGTGTATTGTTCTGGTCATAGGAGCATTATTACAATCCAGAAGATGGAAGTGGATATCTGGCATGGAGAATAAAAACCCTGCAGAAAGAAGAATCAGAGGGACGGATGAAAAGGCAACCACAAACAGGTGTGAGATTTGATTTTTAGTCTGCTTTTATTAGCTTGAACGGAATGATTAATAAACTTTTGTAACTTTTTTATTGACCATACAACTTGGTTATTTTACGCATCTGTCTTTGAAGTATTATTTTGTTCCAGATTGGTCAGTCATTAAGTCATAATGTAAATAAGGTCGAGAGTAACATAGTATCTTTTCAAAATATAATTGCTGTTCTCAGGGATGGGCAACAATTAATCGCGAATTCGCGATTAATCGCATCCAAAATAAAAGATTGTGTTTACATAATATATGTGTGTGTAGTGTGTATAATTAATTTATAAATATAAATACCCACACATGTATGTGTATATTTAAGAAGAATGTGTTATTAATATATCAAATATTTATATATAATATTAATTATGTGTAAATATATATAAAGTATATACATGCAAATATTTCTTAAATATATACATGCATGTGTGTATATTTATATATACAAATTAATTATACACACTACACACACATATATTATATAATTTTATTTTGGATGCGATTAATCATTGCCCATCCCTACATGTTGGGCAAATTTAAAAGTCTGGGAAACTCTCACTCTGGGATTATCCCACTCTGGGATACTGTATGGTTTCTATGTTTTTTTTCCTGTCATCTAGTTCTGGTATAAATGTGTTGTGCTTTTGAAAGAAAAGGAACAAAATATTTTGTTTTCATATTGTCTTAAATACTTTCAGGTGGGCCAACTACTGACAGGGATCCCTTCAAAGCCGCGAGGCCTCAAACAGACTAGTGAGCTCCAAGACGTTATCCAAAATGCTGAAGGTAACTATTGTGCTATAACTTAAATTATTTAATTGGAAGTTATGCATTTATGACAGCATAGCTTTATTCAGATCTAGAGTTTACTCTATACTTTACCCATTAGACATGCTTGATTCATATGCAACACAGACTTGCAATGGGTAAACTGTCAGAATGAAAATCACATGTTTCTCTAACATTTCTACCTTGATCTTCTCTCAAAGACCTAGTAGAGGAGTTTACAGATTTACAGTTTGAAATGGCTTTCATATTGGTCTCTGAAATATAAAAAGTTTAACTCTTTGATATAAAGTTTAACTCTTTGACCTCATTTTAATATCTGTAAAAACGATATAAACACTGTTCGATTTCTCAAACAAACCGCTCGTTTCGTGTCTTAGGCCATCAATGTGTACTTACATTTACGAGTCATTCAATCATGTTTAATTTGGACTTCTCTGTGCATGCTCTTTGAGGTGGTGACCATAGACCTCCATTATATGACTGACAGACAAGAACGGTTTGACTGAAAAATGTCAAAATTGAAAATACTGTGGAAACAAAGACACCTACATCTTGGATGCCCTTGAGGTAAGCTAAAACATATCAAAAATTAATTTCAAAGTGAACTATCCCTATAATACTTATTCTGTGTGCAGTATAAACTAAAGTACTGGAGTGGTTAAAGTATTTATACTGACACATCATCCAAGTGAAGTTAAGTCTACGTAAAACTAGTTCAACTGAGTATGTTCATCCCCTTCTACCTAAAAAACTAAAACAAATGTGTTTATTTTGTTTTTCTTGTCTTCAGGTTGGGACAGCGACATGTCATCCATTCTGATGCTGGTTCACCTTTTGCCACCCTCAAGTTAAGGCCGGGAAAGATCTCAGCGAGAAAAGCGTGATTCTTGTGAAATTCATCAAGGTGAAGCAACTGATGAAGCAGATAAAATGACACTAGTTCATATGAAGAGTTCAGATGCAAAAGCCTCTAAGTGCCATTTGAAATTTTCTTCTAGAATGATCATTTTTATCAAGCCTGTATATTTAAGTTCAGTAATTTCACTTAAATGGCAATGAAGATTACCTATTGATTGTCATTTAAGTGAAATTACTGAACTTAAATATACAAGATTGATAAAAATGATCATTCTAGGAGAAAATTTCAAATGGCACTTAGAGGCTTTTGCATCTGAACTCTTCATATGTTGTGTTACTGTGTGACCTTGAACTTGCTTATTTCTCAGACAGGTTCTTATAGATCACCTACCATCCAAATTGTTGTTCTTGTGCTATTCTTTTCTGCTTAGTACAGTAACAATCTGTTGAAACTATGTAATAAAGAAACTTTGAGGGAAGACACAATTTTATCACAATTTTCGATTATTTTATTATTATTGTTAATTTTTATTTTATTTTTTTGATCACAAGTGAATTGAGTGTAAGTGCAACATTGTTTAAACAGGTGCTTGAAAAATAAAATTGAGATATATGAGTATAAAGTTGTTGATTTTTTTTTTCAGACAAAGCAAGTTTTTCATTTATATTTTTACGACTTTTTGAGGGTAAAACATGAATGGTGCAATTCAGAAAAATAATTTACTCTTTATAGTTTACTCATAATTGATAATAAACAACTCAGGAGGGAAAGTAAATTGTGGCAGAGTACATTTAAAGTTCCCCTGAACAGAGTTAAAAAGTAGCAGAGTAATTTTCTTGTAGCTCTAAACTGAGTAAAATAGCATGAGAGTTGATTTTAAAAAACACTAAATAGAGTTAAATATCATTGGAAAGAGTAAAATTGTATCACTAAATTGAGTATAATTAACTCTGGAAAAACTGCTCTATCAAAAGAGTAACTTTTACTCTTTTCAGAGAGGGACCAAATGTTATCTGGAATAGAGTAAAATTTTCTTCAATTTGAGTAAATTTTACTCTGACAAATTTACTGTGTGCCTTGACATTGTGTAATCATATTTCTGTTTCCATCTTGTTTTTAATAGTTGTAACATCAACTACAGCAACAGCACTGACCCCAGACACCACAGCAAACTCTCTGAAACCAGGTGTGTATGAACATCATCCTCATTTCACCGACTCATGGAGTTTTCTAGAATCAGTTTCTGAATCCTCTCTGGAGTTGTTTGAACAGCTGATCACAAATTTATTTATTTCTTTGTCATTAAATGTGTTTAGTTTGTACAGTCTGCTAGTGTACAGATATCAATATCAATTTCTCTAAAATCATCATCACAAGCATCAATTTACTTGCAGTGATTGTGATTGTTGTTGCCGCTTCATTCACTCTTCTCCTTCTGGCTCTTATTCTCTGGGTGATTCGTAAAAAACGAGCAGGTGAGTTTTTCATACTTTGTAACAACAGACAAAAACTTCGGATAAAATACATAAGTAATTTAGACAAAGGTATTTCTCCAAAAACACCAGAAATCAATGAGTTAACAAAAATAATGTTTCTATTCTACAACACTATAATTCTTCTAGACTAATTGTAATATGCAGTAGAGACTGTGTGTGTGTGTGTGTTTGATCATAAACTTTAACGTGACATTATGTTTCAGGGAACAGCAGAGGGACTGGTGACTCTGTGGTAAGTATTAATAATCATGAGATGTCTATTAATCATTAATGTCTATTACTGCTGACCCTGAAATATGACACTCTTATTAGTCGGATTAGAAAATGTCAGTGTTCTCAGCAGAAAGTTCTGTCAGTCTTGTCTGAGTTTAATGTGTCTTAGTGTTTAATGTGTCTTAAATGTGTGTTAGTGTTCTGTTTGTACACATGGCTCTGTCTTTATTTGTGGTGGCCATGTGTTCCTCTTCTACCGCCTCCTAGTTTCCAAATACACAAATACAACAGAGGGCTATTTTTTTAGTTCTTGATGAGTCCTTGTCAGTCTGAGTGTGTGTGTGTGAGTCTTTGGGTGGCCAGGGCGGTGAAGGCCCTTCGGGTGGCCCCGGCTCTGGAACAGGCACGTGACGGGACGTGAACGTCTCTTGACTGGGCAGACGCGACGTGAATAGTCTCTGACTGGGCAGACGGGACGTAAACAGTCTCTGGCTGGGCAGACGGGACGTGAACAGTCTCTGACTGGGCAGACGGGACGTGAATAGTCTCTGGCTGGGCAGACGGGACGTGAACAGTCTCTAGCTGGGCAGACGCGACGTGAATAGTCTCTGACTGGGCAGACGGGACGTGAACAGTCTCTGACTGGGCAGACGCGACGTGAACAGTCTCTGACTGGGCAGACGGGACGTGAACAGTCTCTGACTGGGCAGACGGGACGTGAATAGTCTCTGACTGGGCAGACGGGACGTGAACAGTCTCTGACTGGGCAGACGCGACGTGAATAGTCTCTGACTGGGCAGACGGGACGTGAATAGTCTCTGACTGGGCAGACGGGACGTGAATAGTCTCTGACTGGGCAGACGGGACGTGAACAGTCTCTGACTGGGCAGACGGGACGTGAATAGTCTCTGACTGGGCAGACGGGACGTGAATAGTCTCTGACTGGGCAGACGGGACGTGAACAGTCTCTGACTGGGCAGACGGGACGTGAACAGTCTCTGACTGGGCAGACGGGACGTGAACAGTCTCTGACTGGGCAGACGCGACGTGAATAGTCTCTGACTGGGCAGACGGGACGTGAATAGTCTCTGACTGGGCAGACGGGACGTGAATAGTCTCTGACTGGGCAGACGGGACGTGAATAGTCTCTGACTGGGCAGACGGGACGTGAACAGTCTCTGACTGGGCAGACGGGACGTGAACAGTCTCTGACTGGGCAGACGGGACGTGAATAGTCTCTGACTGGGCAGACGGGACGTGAATAGTCTCTGACTGGGCAGACGGGACGTAAACAGTCTCTGACTGGGCAGACGGGACGTGAACAGTCTCTGACTGGGCAGACGGGACGTGAACAGTCTCTGACTGGGCAGACGCGACGTGAATAGTCTCTGACTGGGCAGACGGGACGTGAATAGTCTCTGGCTGGGCAGACGGGACGTGAACAGTCTCTGACTGGGCAGACGCGACGTGAACAGTCTCTGACTGGGCAGACGGGACGTGAATAGTCTCTGGCTGGGCAGACGGGACGTGAATAGTCTCTGACTGGGCAGACGGGACGTGAATAGTCTCTGACTGGGCAGACGGGACGTGAATAGTCTCTGACTGGGCAGACGGGACGTGAACAGTCTCTGACTGGGTAGACGGGACGTGAATAGTCTCTGGCTGGGCAGACGGGACGTGAATAGTCTCTGACTGGGCAGACGGGACGTGAATAGTCTCTGACTGGGCAGACGGGACGTGAATAGTCTCTGACTGGGCAGACGGGACGTGAACAGTCTCTGACTGGGCAGACGGGACGTGAACAGTCTCTGACTGGGCAGACGGGACGTGAATAGTCTCTGACTGGGCAGACGGGACGTGAATAGTCTCTGACTGGGCAGACGGGACGTGAACAGTCTCTGACTGGGCAGACGCGACGTGAATAGTCTCTGACTGGGCAGACGGGACGTGAATAGTCTCTGGCTGGGCAGACGGGACGTGAACAGTCTCTGACTGGGCAGACGCGACGTGAACAGTCTCTGGCTGGGCAGACGCGACGTGAATAGTCTCTGGCTGGGCAGACGCGACGTGAATAGTCTCTGGCTGGGCAGACGCGACGTGAATAGTCTCTGGCTGGGCAGACGCGACGTGAATAGTCTCTGACTGGGCAGACGGGACGTGAATAGTCTCTGACTGGGCAGACGGGACGTGAACAGTCTCTGACTGGGCAGACGCGACGTGAACAGTCTCTGACTGGGCAGACGGGACGTGAATAGTCTCTGGCTGGGCAGATGGGACGTGAATAGTCTCTGGCTGGGCAGACGGGACGTGAATAGTCTCTGGCTGGGCAGACGGGACGTGAACAGTCTCTGACTGGGCAGACGCGACGTGAATAGTCTCTGACTGGGCAGATGGGACGTGAACAGTCTCTGATTGGGCAGACGGGACGTGAATAGTCTCTGATTGGGCAGACGCGATGTAAACAGTCTCTGATTGGGCAGACGGGACGTGAACAGTCTCTGATTGGGCAGATGGGACGTGAACAGTCTCTGATTGGGCAGACAGGACATGAACAGTCTCTGACTGGGCAGACGGGACCTCTAGTGGACACCAGGGAACATAAACCAGACACTGTGAGAGTGTTTCAGTGTTAATTTCATTGACAAAAACAATTTTTTTCACAGACGAAAACGAGATGATTACTAAATAAAACCTAGTTTTGAGTGACAAAAATTGTGACGAAAATCCAATGACATTTTCGTCAACGATAAAAACTTGACAAATGTTGATAGTGACAATCTGGGAAACGATCCAGTCAGAACTGATGTCCTGCTTTTTGTGGTGGTAGATGCACTCATTTGTACTGTACGTGCTGATCTACATCGCCATCTAGTGGCCTGGCAGCAGAATACAGTGTTTTTAGTTGTTTCTGCGGATCCTTGTGAACAGGGAACGTTTTGACAATCGTGTCATCTGTATCCGAAAACTCAAAGGAAAAACTTCTCCATTTTAAACATATTGTTTTCATGTAAACGTATCCTCAGTGTGTTGTGCTACCTGTTACTTATGGTTCATTGTTCTAGGGGTGGATTTCATTATGTGTTGTTTCTCTTGTGTAGGTCAAGTCAACTCAAACATCCTGTCATGTGATAATAGGATCTGTCATCATAACATCATGTCTGTTTGATAGATTTTCACAAAACATTTATGGGAAATTGCCTTTACACATATGTTACCGGAACAATTTCAGCACCTGAGTAAAATATTATTGATGGATGACGTTTAATAGCTTGATTTTTTTTTTCCATATTTCCATTGATGTTTAGGAGCAGACAGATGACGTGACTTATACTGAAGTCACTGCGTACAGTAAAAAACAAAGCAAAAAGTACAAGGTAAGCGAACACTTCCTTGATGTTGTCCAGCTTCACTCAACATGATAGTTTGGGTTTTCCTCTCATATTCAGTTATTCTTGATTTGTGTGATGATATGCAGTTCTTCATGAATTGAGCTCAGACAACATGCTGTAATAATGGTGGGTTGAAACGACTGTGATGTTCATTCAGGTTCGCTGTGATGATAGAGTGACGTATGCTTCCATCAGAGGAGCAAAAGCTGGAGCTCAGGAGAACTGCAGTGAACTTTATGCCTCTGTGAACAAGAACACACCAGTCAAATAATTATACAAAACACACATCAGCAGAGGAATATCAATCTATATAACTCATTCATTGTTAATACTTACAATGTCTTTAACATGTTAACAAACAATTGTAATGAATTGTTGTCTTTTATCCTCTTTGTGTTCTGGCTTTGAGTTCTAGCGCTTTCAGAACTGTTTTAATAACCTTTAGTCTAGTTTTAATTTAGCGATATGGAGCTAGTGTGACTAATGGTACATATTTTCAGTAGTATTTTCAGAGCGATGAACTCACTGTTGAGGTTTTGGAAACTGATGAGTGTGAGCTCAGTTAGTTTAACCACACACGCTATTAGAGAAACACGTGTGGTTAAAGAAGAAAGAAAGAAGAGGAACTGACATCCTAACCCACACACAACTGATCATCTATCTGAACCCAGTTTGACCTCATGATTCTCATTGGCTCTGACATGCACTGTGAGCTGTAAGGTCTTATATAGACAGGTGTGTGGCTTTCCTAATCAAGTCCAATCAGTATAATCAAACACAGCTGGACTCAAATGAAGGTGTAGAACCATCTCAAGGATGATCAGAAGAAATAGACAGCACCTGAGTTAAATAAATGAGTGTCACAGGTCTGAATACTTTGGACCATGTGATATTTCAGTTTTTCTTTGTCAACAATTATGTGTTTTTCTGTCAATATGGAGTGCTGTGTGTAAAATAATGAGGAAAAAATAACTTTAATGATTTTAGAAAATATCTGCAAAGTAACAAAGAGTGAAATGTTTCAGGGGGTCTGAATACTTTCCGTACCCACTGTATTTCTGAAAGCGCTAGAACTCAAAACCAGAACACAAAGAGGACAAAATACAGCAATTCATTACAATTTGTTTGTTAACCTGTAAAAGACATTGAAAGTGTTAATAATGAATGAAACCATTAGAATTCAGATGAAATCTAAATATCAGGCAATAGAACTTCAAAATTAAATTCATCAATCAAATATAATAACAACTAATCAGAAATCGAGGAATTCAATTCATTTTCAATAAATCAAAATTAAAAGAGAGAATTATAAAAAGGACATAAAAGTGAGCTCTGATGTAATAAACAACTGCTAGAAAATACTAGAATCAGTTTGATAAAATGAGTATCTTTCCATGAATGAGGTATATTGATCTTTAACTAATCACAACTAACATTTATTTTTCTTGCAAGAATTAACGTTAATGCTTTTGAAAACTAAATGTATCCAACACGAGCCATCGAATTTCATCAAAAATATCTTAATTTGTGTTCCAAAGATGAACGAAGGTATTACGGGTTTGGACATGAAGGTGAGTAATTGACCCTTCGCAGGTGATCTGACCAATCATAATCCGCCATTTTTGTCCGACAAGCAGTCAGGAGAGTTAGCAGATTAACGTTGGAGGAGTTGAAAAACTTGAAAAACTAAGTGGCTTTCTGCTGTTAAAATAACATTCCTCATGTTTATTCATGTTAATTTGATACTATAAATGAACTAGGAGGAAGAGATGATCAGCTTTAACTGAGGCTCTAAAGCAATCTGTCAGAGACATTAAAAACCCACGAAATGGTATTTATTGTTTAAATTCATATTAAAAAAAAAACAAATTTGAAAGTTGAGACTTTGTTTCATATCAAAAGTAACCTGGTCTGTATCAATTCAAGCTTTTTACTCAAGTAAAAGTGTAAAAGTACTGGTTTCAGCAACTTAAAGTATAAAAGTAATGTAAGAAAAAAATGGCATTAAGGAAAAAAGCTTAGGCCGCACCGCAGGGGAAAAACAAAACTATTCTAAAGGCCATAATGACCATAATGTTATGTTAAAATGTTCATTTTTAACATTTTAGGATGCACTAGGCTCCATCCAACCACAATCATATTCACTCTATCCGGATGACGTGATTTTGTCTGGATATTTTTTATTTTTATGGATAACAAGCCAGATTGAAAACAAGCCGAAATGAAATGGGAGTAACGAAGCTATTTCTAAAATGTAAGGAGTAGAAAGTACAGATAATTGCGTAAAAAATGTACAAGGAGTACAAGTAAAAAGTCGGCTGAAAATAATTACCCAAATTTCTACTTAAGTAAGGTAACAAAGTATTTGTACTTTAACTTGACACCTCTGGGAATATGCAATTATTGTATTGTAATTATGCCTTTTTGTGTATAGAAAACTAATGTATTTTAGTAAACCAAAATTGTAACGCTATATAAAGAAAGTGGTTTATAAAGAAAAACATACCACACATAATATTTTAAGCATTTTTTAAAAACATGTTTGTTCTCTTTTATTTTTGTTTTATATATTAATACATTGTCTGTAAATGAGTTGACCTATAATTAATAAAAATATATATCATTAACATTAAGAAGCTTGCCTCCTCGTCTGTTTTACAAAATATTGGTTTGTACATGTGCATCATTTTAGAGCGATATGAGAAATATGAGTATTCCCATACACACATAATTATGATACGACTGTTGTTGAGTGAAACTATGCAATTTATTGTAAATAAGTTACTTGGTGTAAAACAAATGCCAAAGTGATGCATCAAAATCTAATGTTAATGACTTAAGGGTCAAGAGCCCAGCTAAAGCAAATACTGATCTCCATAATGGTAACATAACAATTAAAATTTTCACTTTCAGTGATTCTGCTTGTGAACGTCAGGTGTCTTCAATAATGCTCAATCATCATTAAAATATTCACTTAATTATCCCATTAACTTTAACACAGCTTCAGTGTTCATTTAACACTCTGCTCAGAGTTTATATAATTCTCACTTTTCAGTGTTGATTTAACACTGGGGATTTTGCTGTCCAAGAGAAACTCAGGTAAGAAGATTTTGGTCACTTATTAGTGATAATAGTCATCATGTAGTTGCATGCTTTCGTGATACTACCTGAAATGTAATATTGGATTAAATTGTGAAAAATTAGTTGTTAATTTTACTGCTATAGAAGATCATGCAGTACCGTGATACTAAGTTTTTAATGAAGTCATTAGTAGTGGATTAGTTGTGTTAACTTAAGAAGTTGAATGCGATAGGTTGACTTGTTTTTTTTAAGTTAGCTCAACTATTCTTTTTTTACAGTGAGTCCAAAAAAACATTTATGTATGAAAAGATCTAAACCATTAATTCCAAAGTAGCAAAAAGTAGATAAAGACAAACGACACTCTCTTGACATTAGATTTGCTGCTTTATTACTCCATTGGTAAATAAAGGTAAATAATCCTGCTATTGCTGTTTCCGTAGACTGGTGTCCGAGTCTAAGCCTAAATCCAGGTGATTGTGAAAGGCTTTTCGATGGTGTGAGAATGTGATGTTGCATCAAACTGCAACTCCTGAATCTGAGGGAGAGGAAGAGACAGAGTTTATGAAGCCGTTTATCAGACAGAATAAAAGATAATCTACACACTCATGGTCAGCAGATACTGCACAAATACACTTTAATGAATATTAACTTCAATATTAACTTCAAACTGTAGAGTCCATAATCCATTATAACGCTTCCTCCAGTGGAAAAGTCCATCATGTCCTCTCACATTAACATACACACACATTAGTTTTGGACTGTTTTGTGTATATTTTTCTCCTAATTCAGACCAGATGACCTTTTCATCGGAAGTGTTATTGTGGTTTATGGACTCTAATTTTAGCCAGAAGTATCAGTTTAAAGTTAAAAAGTCTTAATGATGGATTTGTTTCTCAGAAAAACACAGCTTTTGTCTTATTGCATAGTCGCTAATTGCAATGTAAAAAAAAAAATCCTGTGTAAATGTGTTTTATCAGCAGATTCGCTGCACAGGATTTATTACTGAGCGAGTGATGTAATGCTACATGTCATTTGAAACTGAAGTATATGTTTGCATTAGCGTCTGACCTCAGCGTTGTATGTGAATGGCAGGTCGGCGTCGGGCTGTCCAGTCACGCTCAGTGTAACACGAGTGACGGGCGCTGTTACACCCCACACCTTCACCTGACCCAGGGTCAACCTGTCGGCCTCGGCCAGACCGTCTGTGGGAACCGCGCTGGTCAGAACACCCTGTACATATAAACACACGTTACACACACATATAAACACACAGATGTTACACACATATGTTTCCCTATTGGATTTATTGAATACTGTCCAAATAAATCTGAAAGAAATGCACACACAGCTTTCTTCAAAACATGTGAACGTACCGAAGACGCAGTGAAAGTGGTCAAGAGGAAACGCTTGTTCTGAACAGTATCTGTAAGGAGAAAGAAGGAAGAAAAGGTTTTAGGATGATGCACAAACTAAAATAAAGATACATGTTCAGAACACAGTTTTATTGTTTGTAATTCTTACATTAAATTATTATACCAGTAATAGCATTTATCATGAGAAACATTTTACTTTGAAAGCATTGCAGAAATGTTCCCAGATTCCATTTGGGTTGAATAAATCAACATATATTATCAATAAGTAAAATCAAAACCATTCAATTCCTCACAAGAACACTAACTTACCAATTCCCTCTCCGTCATCCCAGAACAAGGATCCATGAGCTAAACCTCCATCATCAAGAGCAACAAGAAGACCCAGAGGATTCTGACGACTACAAGAAGAAGAAAACACAAGACAAAACAGTGAACGTTACATTAGTGTTGTGACATACTAACAGCTACATTTACATATTAAACTGTCCCTATTATGATATTTGAAAGGTTCCTAGTGTTGTTTTAGAGTCTCCTATAACAGGTTCACACAGATCCGAGGTCAATCAAGGATTCAGTCTCTCTAAACTCCGCCTCTCTGAGAGCTGCTCTGCTCTGATTGGTCAGATGGCACAGTCTGCTGTAATTGGTCAGAAACCAAGCGCTCATTATTATATCAGAATCTGGGTTTTACCGTATCAATCTCATCAAAGCTGATTTGCTTTGTTTGTTTTTTGTTTTGTTTTTTTGCTTCTTAAAAATATTTTGGGTAGGCACATACAGACATCAAAAATTAGTGTATGAATCTCAACAATGGTGACAAAAAGATGACCTCTGAACATAACCTCATTTTTTTTATTCATACAGCAATGCATGATGGGAGCCATGAATGAGATTTGATTGGTGGCATCCAAAATATGCTGCAAAATGCTTTATAATTGTCACCATTGTTGAGATTCACAGGCTGATTCTTGATGTCTTTAAAAAAAAAAAGAAAAAAAAGTTTTGTATGTGAATAAGTTTTAAGAAATTATTTGGATTTCATTGTAAAAGTGATTTTCAAGGACAGTGCTGCTATAATCAATAAAGAATTGGGCTCTATTCTGGTCGAATGATTGTGAAATAATAATAATGTTAAAATGACTTAAGGGTCAAGAGCCCAACTAAAGCAAAGACTGATCTCCATAATGGTAACATAACAATTACGATTTTCTCTTTCAGAGATAAAGAATTAGGTTATCTTGATTAACAACAATATGAACTCTTAAAGACACGCAGAGAGAGTGGAATATGGATATATAGAAGAAAATTAACTGTTTGTCTAGCAACCCTTTGACCTAGAAACCTTATGAAAGTGTAAAGAAAATCCTATGTAACTCCAGAGAAATGTCAGAAGTCTGAATAAAGATGGCGGTCAGCTTGTTGACCTGTAGTATGTGTTGCTCTCTGCTTTCTGCCAGGGCAGGATGTGTCCTCCTCTCACGTGCAGGTTAATTTTCCATAATGGCGTGTCCATATCCACAAACTGTCCTCGCACTCCAACAGCTTGGCCCTGGTGGATCAGTCACACACCGGCAGATCAGAGAGTGTATTATGACTGCTTCTGTCATTGACATGCGACTCAAATCTTGAACGCTTGCTGATGAAATGCTCACCGTGTGGTAATCGTACCAGCGGGCGTCTGGCACGTAGCCCCTGACCACAGTCACACCCTTCACAAAACAAAACCAGTGAGAAATCAGTGTTTGTGTAGCGTGATCATAGTGGAGTTGTGTGTGTGTGTGTGTGTGTGTGTGTGTTCAGTACCGGGTCCAGTGCAGGTGTGATCAGAAGAGCGGGACCCCAGAGGAACTGTCTGTCGATCTTCCATGTGTTTTCATCGGTGACAAACCTGCAATTGATGACATCATCAATCACACAACATGATCTCATCAACACTGGACATGATCTCATCAACAACAACCCATTCCATGAAGCTCTACACACTGTTCTTGAGACGCCTGAATTCAACGATTTGGAGGGCTGTCCCAATACTTTGGGTAATATAGTGTATATTTTGAGGGAAAGAGAGGAGCACAAGATGAACGAAGCTCTTAAAGGGACAGTTGCCGTTCTGTCATCATTTCCTCTCATCTACTTCTACTGTATGGAAGAAGAGAACTGTAGCATGAGCGTTCTGCTGAACATCTGGTGTGTGTGAGTGAACTCTTGAGAAACACTCACTCGTGCAGAAGGGGTCTGACCACAGTGTTTCCATGAGCGTGAGCTTCGTACATCAGTGTGTTCAGATATGGCAGGAGTGTGTAGCGAATATTCAGCACATCACGAGACACAGCAGCAAACTCCTCTCCCCAGGCCACGGGGTCCTGCCTCTGTCAAAGATCAGATCATCATCATTCAGCACTTCTGGAGAAAACATCAACGGATTCTCACGCGAGCTTCATTAGCACAGGAATCCAATAAATATTACAATGTGCTGAACAATCAAATCGATAAATTCATACTTATGTCAAACCTATAGGCGATCTGTCCTCAGTCTGTCATAAACAGCTGCTGTGAGTGTGTGTTCTTACTGGCATGTTTATGGTGTTGTGGTTTCTGGAGAAGGGGTAGAACGCTCCGAGCTGCATCCAGCGCAGACACATCTCGTATTCGGCATGGTTAAAGAAGCCGCAGATATCAGCGCCGGTCTGGAACCAGAACACAAATATAGAGTCAGTGTAATGACTGCATGCTAGTGTGAACCAAATTAACATGGTTTGAAATAAAGCACAAATGATCGATCAACAGGACGAGAGAGGCACTTACGTAAGGGATGCCAAATATGCTGAACTCCATCATGCCTGAGAGATAGAAACAGAGTTCATGCATTCAGATATTACGTTTATACACTGAACTGAACCAGCATCATCATCATACCTATGATGGACTTGAGAAGCTGGTCCCAGCGGGAGTAGTTGTCTCCCAGCCAATGTCCTGCCCAGCGCCCACTAGACGGGTATGTTGAACGGGTAATAACCACTCCTCTCTTTCCAGTGGTACTGAGCAAAGCACTGTGAAATACACACAGCAGTCAACACTGATGAACCCGGCCCGAAGTTCAGTCCGGCTCGCCTCCAGTGTGAGGAACCATTGGCGCTTTAGCCTACTTGTAAACATGTGATATTGTGTAATTTTTGTTTAAATTTGAGATTGTATGGGTCAGTTTGTGTTTTGGACCATGTGAGTCCCAAAGCAATCACAACTCGTATCAGAACAACCAATAAATACATTTGGTATTGAATATGGAGGAACAGAAACTCACTCATAAGTGGGTTTGGTGTGAGACCATCCGTACAGGTTGTGGACATCATAATGCTTGACGCGTGTGCCGTCATCGAGGATCTGCTCGCTGTTCATGCACATAGTCTTATGGTTCAGACCTCTATAACTGGACTCCAGTGCTGGGAAAACATCACACACACATTCATTTTGGACAGAAAGTGCTTAATACTAGTGTAAATGTTGTATATGAAAGGCTCATTATGGTTTAGTTCACTCTCAGAGTATATTAAAGTAATTAAGCTAATATAAGCATGCGCTTAGCCAACTAATGGTTTATATGAACGGTGGACTGGAAAAATCTTCAGTCAGGGGAAGGCCTAGTAAAAGTTGACTATGGGGTTGTAAAATCTCTGGAGCGAAGTCTTCATGCCAGGACGCGCTCATAAGAACTTACGGGGCATGTATGGAGGATTTTCCAAAGTTTGATCCCCTAAACACTTCTCTCCGACGGTGCCATGCACAAAACTGGCCGGCTCATTCATGTCCTTCAGGGAAAAAACACAATGACAGAGTTATCATCCAATCAATCCAAAGGGGAAAACGCTGATGATATGCAAACGAGTGAAGAAATGGGGCGTGGCTATGCTAATCCTTCACTTGCTCTTGCACAGCTCATCATGACTCTGATGAGTGAGATGTGTTCATGAACCCTTGTTAAAGGGTAACTAAACCCCTGGTCAGAGCCTGACTCCACCCACTAGCAATATTTGAAAAATGCTGAAAAAATGGGCAGACCCCAGCGGGGCTAGGGGGCGTGCACCTGAGACCCGCCGTGAGTGACAGCTGCTGTCAGACTCTAAAATAGAGCGAGACTAGTCTGGAGTGACTCAATAGCTGCCTTTGCAACAGAGCGGCCATTTGAAGTCGAGGACTTTTCTCCCTCACCTTCACCTTCACCTGAAGTGGATGAGGGTGAATTGTATGTATACACAGGGCCAAATCCATTCGAGCTGCTGGCTCAAACTGCGGTCTTAACTCCCGCATCGCGACCGGCATCTGATGAGTTATGTCGTCGAGTTGATCTCAATAGCGCACGCTATTGATATTATGCCGCTATATGAAAAAATCCAGCAAAATGCACCGGCTCGTTTGTCGACCCTAGAGGATTAACTTTATCCGATTCCTAACCATAAATTGTGATTAAAATATCCACCATGATCACTCACATCAAGACGCCGCTGCGGTGGAGGAGTCCATGCAGGACGAGCAGTGTTTGGCACTGCGTGTGCAGCTGTGTGGAGAAGCCCATGTCCACCTCTATTCCGTTACTATCCTGATCACTGTACTAAACACTGATAAATCTATGCTAACTTGAAGCTATCCTAACTGTACTATGCTACTAGCTACACAAAATAATCTAAATTATCTATATAATGCTATGCTAAATAGATGCAACAATACCCTATCCTGGTCGTTTTCAAAAATAATCTAAATAACTATATAAATGCTATGCTAACTAGATGCTATTATATGCTATAGTATCCTGATCGTTTTCAATATTCATAAATCCAACTCCTGACTCGCTACAGTAGTTTTGACGGAACCAGATGCTTTTATACCAGGGGCTGCCAAGGGCGTGGTGAGCTCGCACCAAGGGTGTGACAGAGTGCGTCTGAGAGTTCGCTACGTCAGCAAGTACCCCTACTGCAGGAGCTTTCCGTTTAACCTGAAGAGGGCAGCACTCAGACGTTTTTACACCATATATTTGAAAATCAAAACACTTTATACTCAATTGTCAAAAAATGTACTCGAATCAATGAACAGCATTTATGAAGCTCCATTCTTACAGATCATTAACTAAAAAAAGTTGTTTTGGTGTTTAGTTACCCTTTAAGATTTCAACAACATTCTTTTCACTTTCCCCGATTTTGGAGGTATTTCATTATTAAGGACGTGTTGTTTTAAGGACAACAATGGCGTGTAATAGCACAGATGTCCTCAAAAAAACATTTACATTTTTTATTCAAACACAAAGCACTCACGATCCACAGTCCGTCAAACTTCATGACGTTGTTGTAATAGTCTCTAATCTGCCCGGCCCACCACTCAGCTGTGCTGTTCTTGAAGAAATCAGGGAACGCCACGAACGCTCGGAACAGCTGAAAGATTCAATGACAGAAACATTAAGTCGGACAAGATGCTTTGAAATTAACTTTGATTATAGCAGCACTGTCCTTAAAAATCAAAATATTTGTCACTTTTATAATGTAATCCGAATAATTTCATAAAACTTATTCACATACGAAACTTTTTTAAGACATCAAGAATCTGCCTGTGAATCTCAACAATGGTGACAATTATAATACAGTGTATTTTGCAGTGTATTCTGGATGCCACCAACAAATCTTCTACATGCTAATTGGTTGAGAATATCTACGTCACACTCGTCTCTCTTGACTGATGATTTCAGTATGAATAGAGGGGGGGAACAAGAGAAAAGATGTCTGGATCTCTGATTAAAGAGTGATAGAAATGGAAAGAAATTAATATAGAAAAATAATAAAAATGGATGAATAGAGAAAGAGGCAGATACCTTTACTTGAGTATCCCAGTCCAAAGAATTGTCCACCTCAACATTGGGATAATCAGGCCACACCTATGAGAGCGAAACAAGGATCATTCCTGCGTTCAGTTCACGTCCACGTCATACTGTATCTGACTGAAAACATCAGATCTACAGCTTCTCTGATCAAAACGCTCTTCAACTAATGTTCATTTAACCCAAAACTACAGTTGAATTCAGTTTCATTCATCATCACTGTATGAGACGGGTTGGTGCCTTGACCCCTGTAGCTTTAGAAACATTGATTTGCTTGTGTTGCGATTGAAGTATAATATGATTGTCTATGTAACAGGATATGGAAATAAAGAAAGTTTTCCATTTCCCAGTGAGCGATCGACAGTCAGCCTCAGTATCAATGTATGCTGCTCTTTCTCTTTGCGTTTGCCGTACCTTTCCCCACACGATGTCATCGCTGAGCTGAGGAGGCCATTTGATGAAAACGTCTTTTTCAATCCCGGTATCAAACGCAGGGTAGGAGCCTTTAGTCTCATTGGCTGCTATAGCCGGATCCTGAAGCACACAAACAAATAAAGCATGTCGTTTTTCTGAAGAATACGTTTCTCTGGCCATACTGATGTCAGACTTCATCCATATATATTTATAAGCTCACATTACGACATCTTCAACCATTTTATGGAAACAACCGTTTATTTCCAGTAATGAAGAATTGCTGGTACCAAAATGAAGATGAAGCGCATCCCCTCAGCCCTCATGTTGTCCACCAGAGCCGGCAGACCATTGAAGTTCTGCTTGTCCAGCGTAAAGTCCATCTGCCTCTCCATGTAGTCAATGTCTGCATATTGAACATCCTATGAGGGATCAAAGGTCAAACGTCATAATCATTAAATGTAGTGACCTAAGACATCAGAAGTGTAAAAGATGAGGTCGCTTACATAAGGAATTTTAGCAGCTTTCATGTCGTTGTAAAGATTTGCGATCTCCGCATCATTGGAGTAACCATAGCGACAAAGCTGGAATCCAAGCGACCAATAGGCTGGAAGAACCGGGCGGCCGATCATCTATCAAACAAAAACAAGAGATAAATATGTTATGTTTTACGCACTTACATTTGAGAACATTTATATTCAAGTGGCTAAAGATGGTGGTTCCCAACCACATCACTGCACACACACACACACTCACACACACCTCAGTGTACTGTTGAACCACAGCTTCTGGAGTGGGTCCCATCACCATGTAGAAGTCCAGGATTCCTCCGATGGTGCGGTAGGTCAGAGCTGGACTCGGCACGAACGTCACATCTGAGAGCAAAACAAGCACAAAAGAATACTAAAAGTCACGATACTAATTAGTTGTGAAATAATAGGCTTTAAATGTATTAATTTGGAAAGTGTCTTCATTGCCTTGATCAAGCTAGACCAGTTTAAACCAGTAAAGCATCTCAGGCTGGTTTAAGATCTATTGAGTTTGTTCTCCCAGCATTCAGCACCGGTTGTGTCCGGCGGGTCGAAGAGAGTCACACATGTTTAGTGTGTGTTTGTACTCACTCATGGCGTAGTGTGTGTGTGTGTGTACTAGGGTTGGGTATCGTTTGAATTTGAACGATTCTGATTCCGATTCCGAGTTTTGATTCCGGTTCCTAACGATTCTTGATTCCGATTCTTTTAAGAGGCAGGGTCAAAAAAGTTTAGCTAACCTTGCTAACCAACGGCCTTTCTGAAGGAAATACTCCTTCTGTAAAAATACTCCTTTTGTCACAAATTTTGCATTTTGCCGAGATTTCGTTATTTTTAGAAAAGTGAAGCCACACTTTGGACCGCCGACGTAAGCTACTCATGTTCGACTCTCGCGGTTATGCCAACACTTCCGGCAGACGCTTCTTCATTGGTGTTGTTCAGCGGTTTCTTCTTCCGCTCGGCGGACTGTGAATATCGAAACTAGGAATCGAAATTTTAACTTTTGAACGATTCCGGGAAAAACGAAAAGTTAGTCTTGGTTCCAATCGATACTCGTTTCTCGATACCCAACCCTAGTGTGTACTCACCCATGGCATTGCTGTTGAGCAGGAGGACGCCGTGAGCGTTCTTTGATTTCTCCAGACCCATGTGAAAGGGATGGACTCCATAATTGTTGAGTTTATACTAGAGATGGGCAGAAAGAGATCAGAGTTTGAGTTTGTGATGTGACTTCAGTTCTGCTCAGAGTTAAACAGACTGTGTAGTGTTAATGAGAGATTTTATTTAGCTTAAGAACTATGCAAATCCCATTTCTCCGAAGCCTACAGAAAGCAGAATGACCCCAAAACTGAAGATATCAGGGCAAAAATCCCCCTGTGTGAGCAATAAGCACCGCAATAAAATAACCAGCAAGAAGAGCAATATCATTGACTTCATTCCTGAACGAATCCGCCGCTTGTGACGTGCAGATGACATTATATCTCCCGCTTGTAAAACATCCGCACCGGTTCACACACTCACCCCTGGAGGCTGGTCTTTGGCAAACAGGCCGTATGTGTGAAAGTTGAGGTCATGACTGTAGACGGGGTGTTCGGTTTCACCAACACCATACACATAGTTTGAGGGGAGGCGTGTGGAGATCTGGAGGAACTGATCGGAGAACGTGAACCCTGGCACAGCAGAGTCCCATCTAGAGGAGAAGAGATTGAACTCAACTTGGAGAACTCTGAGAAATAATTTATCTTTGTCTCAGCCTGACGCGATTTTCATTTTTTTTCACGTCCTGCACTCGGTTGTTTCAATAACAAATGCATTTACTCCATCTGTTCACCCATGGGCTCCTGGTCTGGAGACGAGGTGTGTTCAGGCGCATTGTTGGAGCGTTGTTATTTAGAGGAACTGAAATAGACTGAGCCGTTGACCAACTGAAACCCGCTCTAAAGTCAACTGTGCAGGAGTTTTTGTATTTTGTATTTAAAGAAGCTTGTTAATGTTAATGGAGGTGTATTACTCACATGATCTCTTCTGAGCTCTTTCTGATGACTTGGATCCCGAATGGCATGTCCTGGATCTGAACCCTGTACAGTCTGTTGTTTTCCTCAGTCTCTGGTGTGGCCGGCAGCTCGAGGGGAACGGGGACCTCGAAGCGAGCGTTGGCTGGGTCAAAGATCTACATCAATAAAACCAAAATCAGTCGTACTCGTCATTTCAGTCCTAAATGTGTCCATCTATTTACTTAATTCACAATTCTTAAAATCATCATTAGCGCATTGTGCTAATAACACCAAGGTTGTGGGTTCCCAAGAGAACGCATTAACAAAGTAAACCTTAAATGCAATGCAAGTCGCTAAATATAAATGGTATATTAACTCTAAATCCTACATTTAGAGAAGCATACCTTCCAGCGCAGGCTTTTTCCACTCAGGAATGTGATTTCCACACGGAGTTTGTTGACGTCTCGAGATTGAGAACGTTGAATTGGGAAAGCGGTATTGCGCTCGATATCTACAGTGATGCCGCTCGCCGTTTCAACGACGTTTGTGGTGACGTAGCCGTGGGTCTCGGGGTAATAACACCAGGGCGCGTTGGGAACACTTGAAGGCTGTGAAAGACAATGTGTTGAATCACGTTATAACAAAGACACACTTCAGCTCAAACAGTGTCTTGGTTTGAATGTTGAAGATGTTCTCTCTCTGACCTCCCAGATGCAGCCGCGGGCTTCACATTTGGCCTGATCTGAACCCGCCTCAGGGTAACAGTCCAAGTGCAGAGATCTGGCCTCCAAGTTGACTGTGGAGTCCTTCTCAGGATCCAAAGCTGAAAAATAATTATAATCTGTTAAGAACCGCTTTAAGAAAAAACATCCTGGACCTGCCACTGAGAAGAAGCAAGATCACTTAAGTCTTGTTTCTGAAAAATGAATAATCGTTTTTTTACATGTATAAAAATAAAAGAAGAAGAGAAAAAACTTCCAGAGGAATAAGGAAAGAAATATGATTTTTCTTGATATATTTTCAAGTTTTAAACAAAAACACTTAACATCTTAAGAAATTCAGCCTTTTAAGTAAATGTATTCTGATTTAAGAATGTTTACATACAAAAATATAAAGAAAATATTTGCAGTATATTTTGAACTTCTATTCCATCCTTCTATTTTAGAACTATTTTTTATTTAACTTCTAAAGAAGACTTTTCTATACTTGCAAAAATCACAGCCTATGGCATTGTTAAAAATAGCTGTAAAAAAATGGCCACATTTTGACAGTAGCATACTGTTTTACATTAAAACAGTAATACACAATGCATTCTGGGTAATATTTATAATCTTCGAGAAAGTAGCTTACAGGAATATACTGTGAATTAACAGTGCTCATAGTCGACATTCAGAGGCTGTGTTCAATTCACACCCTATTCACTACATTAGTTCACTAATATAGTCTATTTAACAGTGAATGAAAATAAATGAGTGAATTCAGACACTGATGAACGCCTGCTGTTAACAAGCAGAATCACGATGAAATCTCTAGAAGACAAGAGAAGCCTTATCACCACGTTTATTTCCAACAGGATGTGTTTCCTCGTAAAAAGAAGAAAATTCTACATTTAAAAAAAAAATTAAATGATTGTAGCAATATAGTAATAGTGGTACTACTACTAATAATAATAATGATAATGTTGAAAATATATTACAGATTAACACAAATATTTGCATATACTGTATTAGATCATTTTTCTGATTAGTCATTACAGAGTCCCAGGTGTGCTACAATTCATGTTAAAATAATACGTGGAATAATGCTCTTACCTGAAGCACTCAAAGGTATGAGGAGACAGAGAGACAGGTAGACAGTCCACACCGCCATTGTGTCTCAAAGAACACTGAAACTCTACATACAATTAAAAAAATAATAATTATACATAAATCATCACTAAGTTTACATGGTTCAATTATGTGTGAGACACGAACCAGTTCAGTAGTCCAATGCGGATGTCTGGATAGTGTGTTGTGGAGCGCTGGTTTATCTTTTTATACTGGAGTGGAGTTTGTTTATCAGCACCTGTTCATGTTCTCACATACTCTTATAAAACAACTATTATGATGCCAATTTATCCTGTTTTACGTGTGTGTTCATGGTTCATATTTTTGTCAAACTCTTCATAAGATGCTCTTCGGATCATCTCGAATCAAGAACATGATCATCAGTTTTACACACTTCTGGAGGTCCAGCGCTGATGACATTGCAAGACCCATATGAACTCTTCATTTTATTTACATATAAAATGTTCTATTAAATTTGAAAAGAATACCAAAAAAAAAGTAAAATATCACAAGCTGGAACTGTAGTTTCTGTGACACTAACCTGTTGTATAAGCGTTTTTATAAATGTGATATCATTGTGTAAACAGCATGAGTGCAGGGTCATCAACATTACCTTGAATATGTCAAAGTCACGGTGAATGGATTCAGAGGAAACATGTATTTATTTTTCCTAAGCTCAAGAGACTTAGTTGGGATTCTCTTATAATGTATTACAATTTTGTCTTGTTCTAATCTCTTTCAAGACTTCATTATCTGAATATTTTATTGCTCAGAGGTTGCTCTCTTTAAGCTCAGAAGACTTCTCAAATATCTCTCATTTTAGTTACAGTGTCTCAGAAATAAATAATGAGCCTAATTTCTGCATTTGGTTTACTTTATTAATTATAGCAGCAGTGACCTTGTACAGCATAAAATTCTCAACGTCTACAATGTATATTACAAAAGCTTTTCTTATACAGTTTTTTTATTTCTCTACAATTTTAAGACACAAAGACATCAATAATTAGCCTGTGAATCTCAACAATGGTGACAATCATAAAGAATGTCGCAGTGCATTCTGGATGCCACCAATCAAAACTCATTCATGGCTCCCATCATGCATTGCTGCATGAATAAATAATGAGCTTATGTTCAGAGGTGATCTGTTTGTCACCATTGCTGAGATTAGTATGTTATTTATATGTCCTTGATACCTCCATTCTTGAGAAACGTTTTAAACGCTTGAATGTCTGTCAGTGTTTGTTATATCTTAAGACGGATAGCCAAAGCAAGCAAATAGATTCATCAGTTCTGCTAACTGTTTATGAGGAGATGTCAGTGTTCACCACTGCTTCAGGACAGGAAATGAAGTCAATAACAGTCAGAATACATTCACCTTGTATTGGTCCAACTAAGTCGATTCCCAGTTTAGTCCATGGCCTTGGGGCGAGCTCAAGTGGTTGGCCAGCGGATGAGGTTGGTTCATTATACATGCTGTGCAATCTCTTACTATTCTTTCAACATCCAAGTCCGTGACGGCCCAGTAAAGCTTCCACCTGAGGTACTGCTTTCTTCTTACTACACCCTGGTGTGTCTCATGAGGGAGTCCCGAAGCCTTTTTTAAGTGGGAAACGCAATTCTACCTCCCAGAAGAAGTGCAGGTCCATTATATACTGATAATTCAGTCGCCCAAATACGGCAGTGACTCTTCTGGGACTGGATTTGGCCACTGGTTTGTGTGAACTGCTTGAATCTGCTGCTGAAGAACTTGATCATGTTCCTTTGCTTCTTTAATCACATCATTTGTCCGTGCCGCCCATGTAATATGAATATAGTCATGTAATATGAAACTCATCTTAGCCCTTGTGCCACAGGTGATATTTTCTCATCGACAGTGACTCTGCAAAAATATCCTGAACTCAGTTTCCCTGGGTGTCGAAATACTATTGGTGGAACTGGCAGTGGGCGGAGTCACATAGCCCAAAATAAAACTAGACTGACAACAAGTAAAATAACTGGCTGTGGAAGTGTTTTTTAGAGAAATGAGTGTGTGAACTTAGCATGTTTACTAAATATCTGCAAAAATATGATGGTTTTTTATGCTTTAGTAGAGTGAAAAAGTTACATACAGCACCTTTAATACTAGTAATACATTTTTTTGTTTTGTTTATGGAAGTACACTTTGAAGTACACTCTCAGTAAACTAATTTAGAAGTTCTATATTGCAAAAATACTGTACGTTTCCTTTAGGTTAACAGAACATCATTCTTAGCAAAATGGAAAAACTCACATCATGTGACTTTCTTTACAGATAAGAATCTAGCCTTTAAATATAAGTTATGCAATGGGAAAAACAGAGTAAACAACACAGTAATCGGTACAACAACACAATTCTGTTCAGTGTATAAGATGTCAGATGAGTCCAATGTTAGGACGCACTAGTAGATCAGTAGTGTAGTGGGAAGAATGTTTGTTCTGTGACAGATGTGTATTAGAGGTGTAAAAGAGGCATCAGTCCTCAATCTGAATTGAGCAAGCATCATTTACCCTGTCCCCTAGCCCTTTTATTTAGTACCATTACTCTCTGACCATACAAAGGTTCCTCTCTGACTCAATGGTAACCCCTTCTTTTGAAGTTCTTCTGGCTTGATTACAGACAGACACTAGTCTTTTATTTTTCAAAGTTGGCACAGCAACTGATAATGAGTGATGTGGTCCATCATTACTAAAATATTACACATTCCACTCACTGTGTGCAGGTTTTTATTATTAATGAACAATAAAGTAGACCGAAACAATCTGTTGAGAGTGTTCGGATTGTAAAAGGGGGGCACTCACTTTAATGGCTGGAGGCTTATCCAGATTACAACAAACACATTGGAGTGTTCCACTTCTAATTTTTCTTTAGATGATTTAAGTGAATCTGTAAACATTAACTAATGTATTATTAAAAAAAAAATATCAAATATTGGGTTGTTTTTAACCCAGTGTTTTTAGAGTGCAGGGAATTGCTAATTAAACATTTAACTCAATTATTTTTGATCTATTTATTTGTGTGCATCAGCTTAGGCAATGGACTCTTTGCTATAAGGCTAACTCTATTACAATTGAGGAACGGAAACAGTAGTGCTAATTTCTGTAATTTAGTAGCCTACTATTGTCTACTTTGGGCTTCGATCAGTTTCACATTTAGTAAATGGAGATTAGTTCCAAAATAATAAAAATAAATCAAAGGCTATAGTAAATAGGCGAATCTGCGACGTGGCCCCGTACGCGCATGCGTTGTCTACTGATGACGTCACCTCACCGATCGCGCGGTCTCTGTCAGTTTCAGCGCGAGTCTTCTGAGGTGATCGGGCAGTTCACGGTATTTATCATATTTACACCCATCACACACACTTTATACAGTTTTATTAAGCGACAGACTCATTTCTGTATTGTTTTCATCGATCACAGCGATACTTGTGCGTTTTTTCTGGCGTCTTCCTCCTGAAATAAACACATTTAGTGCAGCAGCAGCGAGTCTGAGCCTGAGGAGAATATGTGGAGTTCATTCAGACCTGAGCGAGTGTGTGTTCGTTTGAGTGATTGTCTCGATGTTTGGAGTGAAAACTGTAACTGAATGTTAAAGTCAAAGTTTGAGATCTGTGAGGGAAATCGATCTCAAGTGTTGCTACTCATTTTACGGATTTGGATTAAAAGTGTTAGCTTATTTTGTTGTTAAATAAACTGGAACCGATACTGCTAAATACTTTACATCGAGCCTATGAGAGATTTCCAATCTATCTACATGAATAATATTGCTTGTGTTCTTTATTTTTAAAAGTTGTATGAGTATGATTATTTCAATTTCTGCATTTAATGATCTGATTTTGTGATTTATGTATAGTTATCGAAAAATCAAACTTAATCGTTTTCCTATAGAGCAGTTTTACAGGCTTTTATCATGTATCCTGACTCAAATAATGTGTTTCTAACAGCAAACACTCAGAATAAAGTGAGATGATCTGCTGATGATCCTGAATGGCTTGTTGAATGAGTGTTGACAGTCTGAGGATCGTCAATATTAACAGATCTGCTGAAAACACTCTTTATTTCATGACAATAGTTCCTGTTTTCTCCTCATTTATTATGCTGATGTCTTCACATCTCCTGTAAATTGACACTTAAAGCTCATTTCAAGCAAATTTTGGAGGTTTGAGAATTTCAGTTGGATTGTCAACATCAGGTCAAACTATATATATTTTGAAGCTCTTTTATTTAGTATTTATTGTATGGTGTTGAGTGAAACATGTCGGACACAGATAAAGCAAAAAAATATATAAATAAAACTAGATTTGAGTGTTAAATTTCTACAGATACTGTAAACCTGAACAGGAATGCAGCGAAATTCGCTTATTGTTCGCCTACATTCGCATGCGTATGACTGGAAGTCAGTGGAAGGAAAAGTCTAATGTGGCCGGCTGTTAATAATTACGTTTTTAGAAAAACAAATTAAACAGCAATATAAACGTTGGTTAAAATTACAGATACTATGTTAGATACTTGTTGATCAAATGTATTTAATAGTTTACACTTTTTCCATTATATTTTTTGGTTTACTGGAAATTAAATTAATTGTATTTCTTTCATTTCAGACCCGATGGAAGTGAAGGAGGAGAATGAAGAACTTCAAGGAGGAACATCAAGTCGAATCTGGAGAAAAAACTTTGTGTCACTCAAAGACTAAAAAGAAATGTTTACAGAAAAGACGAGCCAAGAGCCGGATCTGCGCTCATTGTGGGAAGAGCTTCGCAAACAAACAACATCTTGAGCTTCACATGAGCATCCACACCGGAGAGAAGCCGTTCACATGTGATCAGTGCGGGAAGAGTTGCTCTTTTAAAAGTCACCTAAAGATACACGTTATAAAAAGACACTAAAAACAGCCAGGGCTGAGTATCTCCGCAAACTAATCGAAAATAACCAAAATAATCCAAGGTTTTTATTTAACACCGTGGCTAGGCTAACAAATAAACAGACATCACCAGAGCAAAATATACCTTTACAGTTTAGTAGTAATGATTTTATGAATTACTTCAATGCGAAAATAGAAAGCATCCGAAACAAAATTATAAATGTACAATCCGCTATGGTGTCTTATGATTCAGCTTCAATTATGGACCCTCTAGAACAACTAAACCGCTTTACAACGATAGGACAGGAGGAGCTAAATAAACTTATCATTGCATCTAAACCAACAACTTGTTTATTAGATCCAATACCCACTAAACTACTGAAAGAACTATTACCTGTAGTGGAAGAGCCTCTCCTCAATATTATTAACTCGTCTTTATCTTTAGGTCATGTCCCAAAAATATACAAGCTGGCTGTAATAAAACCGCTCATTAAGAAACCGCAATTAGATCCAAATAACTTGGCAAATTACAGACCCATTTCAAATCTTCCATTTATGTCCAAAATACTTGAAAAAGTAGTGTCCGCTCAATTGTGCTCTTTTTTGCAAGAAAATGATATCTATGAAAAATTCCAGTCAGGATTCAGACCGCATCATAGTACAGAAACTGCGCTAGTTAAAATTACAAATGATTTACTTTTAGCTTCTGACCAAGGCTGTATCTCAATACTAGTCCTACTTGATCTTAGCGCTGCGTTCGACACTATAGATCATAAAATACTCTTGGATCGACTACAAAACTTCACCGGTGTCCAGGGACAGGCATTAAGCTGGTTTAGATCGTACTTATCGGACCGTTCTCATTTTGTCTGTTTAAATGGGAAAAAATCAAAGATAACGTCAGTAGACTATGGAGTACCGCAAGGATCAGTTTTAGGCCCTCTGCTATTCTCAATATATATGCTGCCACTTGGTAATATTATAAGAAAACATGGAATTAATTTCCACTGTTACGCTGACGACACTCAATTATATATTTCATCACGACCAGATGAAAACACTAACTCATCTAAAATGACAGAGTGTCTCAAAGATATAAAATGCTGGATGACGCGTAATTTCCTGCTATTAAATTCAGATAAAACGGAGGTATTACTTATTGGTCCAAAAAACTACTCACAAAACCTCTCACAGTACAACTTTAATATAGACGGATGTCCTGTTACTTTATCCACAACAGTAAAAGACCTGGGTGTTATACTAGACCGCAACTTGTCGTTCGAAAATCATATTTCATATGTTACAAGAACAGCCTTTTTCCACCTTAGAAACATTGCTAAGCTACGTAACATGCTATCTATTTCTGATGCAGAAAAATTAGTTCACGCATTCATGACCTCGAGACTAGATTACTGTAATGCTTTATTAGCCGGTTGTCCTGCATCCTCAATAAACAAGCTACAGTTAGTACAAAATGCAGCTGCTAGAGTTCTTACTAGGTCAAGAAAATATGATCATATAACACCGATTTTATCATCTCTACACTGGTTACCTATTAAGTTCCGCATCAACTACAAAATACTACTACTGACCTATAAAGCCCTAAATGGTTTAGCACCTATGTACTTAACGGACCTTCTTTCGCCCTACAATCCACCGCGTTCCTTAAGATCACTAAATTCAAGGCTTCTGGTCATTCCTAGGATATCGAAGTCCAGTAAAGGAGGGAGGGCGTTCTCGCATTTAGCTCCAAAACTCTGGAATGGCCTTCCCGATACGGTCCAAGCCTCTGACTCGCTGACACAGTTCAAAACTAGATTAAAGACGCATCTCTTTAGTCAAGCATTCACATAATGCTTACCTTCTAGTCCTCTGTTATGCCATACGGAACCGTTTGCCACTGAAACTGCTTAACGCACCAGTGGGGCTCGACAGCCTCTTAGACAAACGGGTCGGCGCGTATGGTTGGGTTGGGTTGCGGAGAGTTCGGGTTACGGAGAGTTTGTGAGTTATAACGGAAATTATTATGAACATCAGCTATGCTAATTATTTCCCATCTGCCTTTCTGCTGTTATCTCGGGACGCTTGTCCCGAGAAAAATGGCGTTCGTCAGGTCCAGTTTTGTGTCCAGCCTCTCACGGGGATTTCGGATGCCCCAACGCCTGTGATGAGACGACTCAACGCCTGTGATGAGACGACTCAACGCCTGCGATATGTTATGGCGCCGTTTGATTCATAAACAATATTTATATTTAATATTTATATTTAAACAATATGAATGTAAGCCAGAGGAGAACTGGCCCCCGACTGAGCCTGGGTTCTCCCAAGGTTTTTTCTCCATCCAATCTGATGGAGTTTGGTTCCTTGCCACTGTCGCCTTGCTTTTGGCTTGCTTTGAGCTTGCTCAGTTGGGGTTATTTATTTAGTGTTTAGCAATGTTGTTGATCTGTGTTGTGCTACTTACATGTTATCACTGTGAAGCTGCTTTGATACAATCTGTATTGTGAAAAGCGCTATATAAATAAATGTGACTTGACTTGACTTGACCTAAAGATACACATGAAGATCCATACAGTGAAGAAACCACATCAACACAGTCTGAAATCATGGTAAGTAGTTCATCTTTATGTGCTAAGAAACAAAGTCTCTTCCTTACTAATAATAGTATTTACAATGTTTTATGTAAAGTACCCTCGGGATCTTGAAAGGTGCTTTTTTCCCAATATTGAAAGACTAACTAATCCTACCCCATACCTAAACGTAATCATTACAACAATTAATAAACAGTAAATTAGGAGTTAATTGAGGCATTTGTCATAGTTAATAGTGAATATGTGTTCACTATTCTCACCATTCTAACTTCTGGACAAAATAGCGCTGACACTTTACAAAGATAAATGTTTTTAGAGTGTATGTTGACCGCATGATTTCGCGCAATCTTTCAAATGGAGTACACTTCGGAAGGTTATTGTGGCGAGGGGGGCCAGTTCACTATGAAATGCTCCATTGTTGACGTACGGACTCTGTAACACATTTTCTTCTTTCTCTCAATCTTAAAAAGGATTTTTGAGTGTCTTTCTGAACAGACAGCTAAACTAGAGTTGTCAAAAAGTACCAACTTCGGTACTTTAAATTACTGTTACTTTCTATTATTTTCTGGTACTATTATTCCGGTACTATTATTTTCTGATTTGTCAATTGTACATGATCATAACCTTACTTAACCTAGCAATAAATAATAACTTCTGTCATTATTCTGTCAACGTTTTTTTTAAATTACGGTTTACAAATACAAATAAAATATATAATACAAATGTGCAATCTGCACTGTTTAGCACTGAAGCTTACACATGTGTGAGTTTTGGAAAGTTAGCATCATTAAGGTTTGAATAGAGCTGTGGCCAAAGGTTTTGAAAATGGCACAAATATTAATTTTCACAAAATCTGCTGCTTCAGTGTTTTTAGATCTTTTTGTATCCAGCGCATCTTAACTATAACAACTGAGGAACATGTCTGATGTGTTGTATATATCATAATTCATAATATTCATCTTGATCCGAATGAAAACATCTGTTGATTGTGTCTCATCAGCTCCTGTGATTCTGGATCCAATCTCTGTGAATCCACGTCTTGTCCTGTCTGATGATCCGACCAGTGTGAGACACGGTGAGAACATTAACCCCGTTCCTGGTAATCCAGAGAGGTTTAACTTAGGTGTTGTGGGTTCAGAGGGGTTTAACTCAGGAACACACTGCTGGGATGTGGAGGTTAATATATATATATATATATATATATATATATATATATATATATATATATATATATATATATATAAGTAAAATATATTTATATATAAAATTTATATTTAATTTATATATATATATATATATATATATGAAGGTTCATATATTTTTATTATATATTTTTATTTATTTTTTATATATATTTATATTTTTTTATTTTTTATTTATTTTTTTTATTTTTTTTTCTCTGTCTCTCTCAACACAATGGTTCCAAATGAAGCCATACATGAATAAACTGATCTTTATAAACACTTCACTTGCTAATGTAAAAAAAGTCCCTGTGAGCAGCTTTATTGACATCTAGAGGTCATCTAGAGCAACTGACTATCAAGAAAACATCACTAGTTTCATTACAACATGACGTCAACAACAAGAAACAATGCTGAAAAATAAAAAGATGTATTTTTAAGATGCAATAATGCGGTTTTACAGATGCCAGAAACGTGGCTTTCAAATGAAAGATTAGTATCAAGAGCACACCCAGTTTCCTAAACGACGACGAGGACTTGACAGAGCAGCGTTCGTAACATCTTTATGTTACGAATATTATTCAATGCTTTAGCTATTTTCTTACAGCCACTTTCGATTTCATGAAGCTCAACAATCTTTTGCTGCACATCAGAACTATATTCTGTGGTTTTACTCATTATGATGGATGATTAACAGAATTTGACCTTTGTGTTTCCTCATATTTATTCTCCTGTGGAAGAAGTCATGTCTGGATAAAGTTCGGGTGAGGAACACGTTCAGGTAATTCACACGAGTGGAGTGCAATGATAAGATGTGTATTATTGTATGTAGACTCAGCAAACTCCATTGATAGTTTAGGCCACACCCCTTCTCCACACTTCCAGTCCTAAACACGGGGGAGTACTCTGGGTTCGGGACAAACTCAAAGCTCTGAGCCCCCAAGATCAAAAGCATTAACAATGCAATGCTATTGAAAGACAATACTGTTATTTCTCATCATAGCACATATAAATAATCAATAATACAATACAATGAAACAAACAGACACCAATACACCTCTAGAGGCAAATAACTACATCAGCACAATATGTCCATGAATTTAACTATAGTTTGATTTTCTAATAACTACATTCACTGTGCAGTTATGTATCAGTCAATAACTTGTTATAGTTTATGCGCTGAAACTGACAACGATCATAAATCACAGCACCAAATGTTTCCAGTGTCAAACTCTTCATATGTATCTATATTATCACTTATGTTTAGATTTAAAACGTTTCACGTCGCTCATTATGAAGAATTGAATTTGTGTCTTCGTTATATGGTATTGAGTGTTTCCTGATGCTTCAAAGGTCATGACCATCATCTCATCTGCTCGATGTTTTGAATAACTAACAGCAGCAGTTCTGGTTATTGAGCTTCCTCTTCCTGAACATGATCCGTATATTGTATTCAAACCTTTAATTCAAAGCAGTTGAATTAACAAGAAGTTGACATTTGAGGAACTTACACAGGATTATCAGATACGAAGCCAAAGCAGAATAAGCTGTTGCGTTTCTCAGAGCGACACACATTAGATGCGTTTTGTTCCTGAAAGAATCAGTGTTTTGAACGAATTGATTGACTAAACAATTATAGTATATGATACAAGTTCAGTATTAGGGCTGAAACGATTCCTCGAGTTACTCGAGTTATTCGATTACAAAAATTCCTCGAGGCAAAAAATCTGCCTCGAAGCCTCGTTAAATTCCAATGTTTCACACGGACCGTTATTCAGGAAGCACACCATAGCGCATGATACATTTGACTTCATAAATGGCAGAGAATGTCTAAAGTTTGGGATCATTATATGTTTGTAAAGGGAGAGAACAAGATGCAATGTGTCTGCAAAGTATACCTGGCAGGGCTGCCAACTCTCACGCGTTCAGCAATTCGATTTCTCACGCTGAAGTGTCAATCCCTTCGGTCAAATGCCTGAAAGATGAGTTCGTCTATCTAACTGTTGAGCCACTCCTGATCGACTAGTTTTACCGCCGCATATTAATTCGCAAGTTAAAATATCCTGTAATCTAGTGCGAGCGCGCATGCGAGATGTTGAGCTCCTTTACCGCGGCTCGCGCACGACGGCAGAGAGGTAAGCGAGCGCGTGCACCCATGTCTAAGACCAATTGCGACAATTCATCATATGCTTAAATTTATATTTAATATTTATATTTAAACAATATGAATGTAAGCCAGAGGAGAACTGGCCCCCGACTGAGCCTGGGTTCTCCCAAGGTTTTTTCTCCATCCAATCTGATGGAGTTTGGTTCCTTGCCACTGTCGCCTTGCTTTTGGCTTGCTTTGAGCTTGCTCAGTTGGGGTTATTTAGTGTTTAGCAATGTTGTTGATCTGTGTTGTGCTACTTTCATGTTATCACTGTGAAGCTGCTTTGATACAATCTGTATTGTGAAAAGCGCTATATAAATAAATGTGACTTGACTTGACTTGACTTAAACTTTTATGTAGCCACGCAACAAAAATTTCAGCATACATTCACCGGGACGTGATGGAGGAACAAATATTGTGAGACACACACACACACTCTGATGTTTGTCTTGAGATTACAGTTGAAAAAGTCTGATTCTTATTTATAATTGTTTTATTTCCATTTATTTATTTTTTATAAATTGTACACATTTGTGTACCTGTTTGGGTTGATATTTTATATTAATATATTTTTGTTTCCAGGTGGGTAATTTGCAGAAGGTGCAAAGCCTTTTTTTGTAATGTTGGATTAAGAAGACAAAACTAAGGCCAAATGGGCTTTACTATTTAAGTTTGTATTCAAAGTTTTACATGTTATGGGCTACATGTAACAGGTTTTACAGTAAATTGTTTTAACTGTATTGTTATATAATTGTTGGCACTGGCACTTATAAACACTAAATGGGTAAAAATTGCAATAATTAGTTGTGGAGCCAAATGTTGCAGTTGGAATAAATACCTCTATTTTTTTTTAAATAAATAAAAGCCAAACACCTTATCATTTTCGTAATACATTATTTGTTTTGGTTGCTTAAAAACACACATAAACAAATTATCCGATTACTCGATTAATCGATCGATTAAGTGCTAGATTAATCGATTACAAAAAGAATCGATAGCTGCAGCCCTATTCAGTATATGACTGGACCGTCATTTGTAGTGGTGTGGCATTATCGAGTGCACTCATCTATATATATATATATATATATATAATTATGTATATATATGAGAGAGAGGGAGGATCTTAGAGAGAATAATTTAAGAATTATTAATAAATAAATAAAGAAAGAATATGTGCATTCAAAGCAACACGTTTTGTCAGTTTAAAGATAGTTTATTACAGAATAAACATAAAAAAGAGCTGTCCGATAATATGCCAATATATCAAGGATATGATAAAGTGCTATATAGGTCTATACAGGTATTTACTGAAATATATTTTTAAGTTTCATCAGCAATTCAAGAAAGTATGTTAATAATAAGTTTGGATTTTAAAAAAGGTACGTTATGTTTCTAGTGGGTAAAATATTCTTCTCACAGATCCATGTAGAATTTCTATCACATAAATCAGAAAACCACGATGCATAAATACTTAGAGCAGCACACCTCTGTCCTTTATATCCAAATGGCGACTTCAGGAACCTGGAACTACAGATCAACATAATATGTTCAGTGCAGCCTTCTGTATATATATATATAATACTGCCAGTGAGAATCATTTATTAGTTAATAATCAGTGATTTCTCACCTAGAGTTCAGTGCTTTGCCATCGACCCATTTCCATCTGCCCTCCACTTCACTCAGACCAATCCAGAATACACCCTTTTTGAAAACAAAATCCTAGGAACGTGAAACCACAACACATGTATATCATAAACTGACAATATCAGCTAAATGCACACACATATGAACTCTCTCACACTCACTTGTTCATTCCCATTGTTTAAGATGATCAGATCTGCTCCTCTGTCTCTACAGTATCTTCTGCTCTCATTCCAGCTCTTCCACTCCGAGGAAAAGAAGTAAAGACTGGACTGGTAGTAAGTCCATCCGTCTACAGTACAGACACAACCAGTTCATGCAGAGAAATCACTTTTTTCTGCCATTTGTTTAGTGTTAATTTTGTTAACGAAAACTAAACGAAAATATTTTCGTCAACGCACATTTTTCACCGAACGAAAACTAGACGAGACGAGACTAAAATCCCCACTAATAAACAATAACTGGGAGTAAATCAGAAATAATTTTCGTAGACTAATAAAGACGAGACGAAAATGCAGTTCGGTAAATAAAGACTGGGCTAAAATCTATGGACATTTTAGTTCACGAACAAAGACGAGACGAAAATTACATATTATTATATGGACACATTTTGTTACAATGATAAACTAACTAATGATGGCTAACTTTCATAGCATTTAGTATCCAGGCTGGCTATGTTACGTTAGCTTCTTAGCACGTAGCGACCGTAGCCACTTGTTGATAGAATTGTATGTGAAGTTAAATTTATGCTAACTTAGATATGTTATACTGGCCGGGCAACTATAGTTTCAGTTAAATTTGATTAAAGCAGACAGACGCTTTAAAAAGATTTCATACGTTCTAGCAAGCTATGCCTTGTTTCACCTTAAATAATGTACCTTTATATACCATGTGAACTAGCTGGCAGGAAAGCACTTTTGTTGTATCAGTTGGAGTTTTTTTTTTTTTTCACAACATTGACCTCAAATCTATTTATTTTATTATTCTATGTGAACTAGCTTTAAACAGCCAGCACTTGTGTTAAGTTCATAATACACTTTATTTTATTTATTTGTTTCCTTTGTCAGGTGTATTTTATTTGTTTTAATGCAAGCATTTGTGTTTGTGTCTTTGAACCTTAACAATGTTCAAAATAAATATGCAAATATTGTCAGTACATCTTCCATGTCTGCATGTGTTCCTTAAAATTGTGTTTTTTATCAAAAAGATGAGAGAAAATGTTGAAATGTGAAATAATTTTAGGAAATGTTTAATATTATCTGCTGACAACAAAGTAAAAGGTTAAAATGATGTCCTGACTAAAACTAGACTAAAATGTTGACAGTTTTTTTTTTTGACTAAAACTAAACGAATAAAATTATGTTTTCTTGGACTAAAATAAAGACTAAAATGCTCGACTTATAGTCGACTAAAACTAGACTAAATAAAAATGGGATGATGTCGACTAAATGTGATAAAAACTAACAAGCGATGCTGAAACTGGACTAAAACTGAAACTAAATTTAAAAATGGCTGGTAAAATTAACACTACATTTGTTGTTGCCAACAAGTTTGTTGTATGATCACATGTAGCAGTTTTCCCAATTATATTGGCCGGGTTATTCCATTGGATTTTAAACTTCACATGTTTTTATAAGGTTAATCTATATTTATTTTAGTTCAAGTCACTTAAACCCAACACAGCAGGAACTTTACATACAACTAGTACACCAAATGGTAAGTACACATCACTTTACATTTTACACTTTAGAGGTTATTTTGTAGGGCTGGGTATTGACACAAATTTCACAATTCGATTCGATTTCGATTCACAAGCTTGCGATTCGATTCTGATTCAATTCGATTCAATATTGATAATTTTGGATATCAGTTACAATAAATGGCAAATTTTCTCAAGGGAATCAAATCTCTTAACTAATGCTGTAAACTATGGGAGTCTAGTTGTAGCCTATTATGAAGGCAATAATGAACTGTTTTGTAGCTATTCAAACACTTAAATTACACTTTTATTTATTTTTATAATAAGAAGATTATATGAAATATAAACATTTAAATGGTGGCTGTCATAAAAACTTGCCAGATTTATTCAAATATGCATTAAATATTGAAGAACATTAAGATTATAATGCATATGTAATATGGTGTATATATTTAGCAAAATGCTCCTCTCTGGAGTTATTTTTTCTAGCTGACTAACGAGTTTATGTGGGTTTTCTGAGGTAAATATGACGATACATGAAACTGACGTCTTTCCACGGTTGAAACGCTGATTTAGCGAATCAATGTTTCATGATACGGATTTGGATAAGTTGTACTCGATCTTTAACACACTTTCAGATGCTCATTCATGTTTATTTGGCGCTGTAACTGGTATTATTAAGCCGGAAGAGAGATCAGTAATCTCACGCCACAGCGCCAAAACGTTATTTATGTTTTTACATTTCCAAAGAAAATGGACGGAATTCGAAATTTGAGACTTTGTTTCATATCAATAGTAACAAAAGACAAAGATTATTGCGATTTTTTTTGGATGCGCGCAGCCGCGATACAATGATCCATTCATTCAAATGAAACAGGATGACTAATCGATTCTTGAGATTTAAGAATCGATATCGGTTCGTAAAAATGAGATTCGATTAATATCGAGAAGTCTATTTGTTACCCAGCCCTATTATTTTGTATAAACTTATAACCATATCATATTCCTGCTATGTAGCATCTACTAAAATGAGCAGAGAAACTCACCCATGTAATCAAGACTCATCTGAAGATCGTTTTTCTCCCACTTTAGCTGGTCTCTCTCTCTCGTCAGATTGTCATTGATGAATATGAGCCGGTTTCTGTCATTGTTGAGCTCATTGTTCTTGGATGTGAACGCGACACACAGCGCTATGACTGCGGTCAGCAGAAGAACACACAGCACTATCAAACACACATCAACTGCTCTGAAGCTTCTGCTCTTCACACCGTCAGCTCCTGAAGACCAACAAACACGCTTATAATCACTTCAGATGGCGTGTTGTAAATGAAAACATGAAAACTGTTACGTTATGTGATGAAATGTATTGTTAATAATCTCATTACCTGTGAGTTCAGATGATGGGATTCCCGTTACGTCTGTGATCTCTCTTGCAAATTTACCTTTTGTAACATCATAATTTTCATAGATATTATCGATGCTTCTCTCATGTTCTCTGTACATTTCCAAAGATGTTGTATATTTCCATTTACACTCGCAGAGAGTTTCTGTGAACAGTTTCTCTCCTGCGTTGTGTTCCTCATCTGTGTTTGTGTGGACAGTATTTATGCAGAAAGGAACTGAGTTTGAGGAATATGTTTTCATAAAGGAACTTTACAACTCACCGCAGAAAATATCAGTTTGTGTTCATTTAAATGAGTGTGTTTTCACACAATCGCTGGCTGGTGTCGGGAAACATGCTGAAATGTTCAGGTTGTTATTGGTCGTGATTGGAAGATGGGGTCATTTTAATAAGAGTCTCGTACTCATACTCTCGTAATAAGATTCTGACTTTACATCTCACAATTCTGACTTTATATCTCGCAATTCTGACTTTATATCTCGCAATTCTGGCTTTATATCTCGCAATTCTGACTTTATATCTCGCAATTCTGGCTTTATCTCGCAATTCTGACTTTATATCTCACAATTCTGACTTTTTATCACACAATTCTGACTTTATATCTCGTAATTCTGACTTTATATCTCGCAATTCTGACTTTATATCTCGCAATTCTGACTTTATATCTCGCAATTCTGACTTAATATCTCGCAATTCTGACTTTATATCTCACAATTCTGACTTTATATCTCGCAATTCTGACTTTATATCTCACAATTCTGACTTTACATCTCACAATTCTGACTTTACATCTCGCAATTCTGACTTTATATCTCGCAATTCTGACTTTATATCTCACAATTCTGACTTTATATCTCACAATTCTGACTTTCTATCTTGCAATTCTGACTTTATATCTCGCAATTCTGACTTTATATCTCGCAATTCTGATTATATCTCGCAATTCTGACTTTATATCACGCAATTCTGACTTTATATCTCGCAATTCTGACTTTACATCTCGCAATTCTGACTTTATATCTCGCAATTCTGACTTTATATCTCGCAATTCTGACTTTATATCTCGCAATTCTGACTATATCTCGCAATTCTGACTTTATATCTCGCAATTCTGACTTTATATCTCGCAATTCTGACTTTATATCACGCAATTCTGACTTTATATCTCGCAATTCTGACTTTATATCTCGCAATTCTGACGTTATAACACGCAGTTGTGATTTTATATCTTGCAATTCTGACTATCTCGCAATTCTGACTTTATATCTCTCAATTCTGACTTTATATCTCGCAATTCTGACTTTATATCACGCAATTCTGACTTTATATCTCACAATTCTGACTTTATAACACGCAGTTGTGATTTTATATCTTGCAATTCTGACTATCTCGCAATTCTGACTTTATATCTCGCAATTCTGACTTTATATCTCGCAATTCTGACTTTATATCACGCAATTCTGACTTTATATCTCGCAATTCTGACTTTATATCACGCAATTCTGACTTTATATCTCGCAATTCTGACTTTATATCTCTCAATTCTGACTTTATATCTCGCAATTCTGACTATATCTCGCAATTCTGACTTTATATCTCGCAATTCTGACTTTATATCTTGCAATTCTGACTTTATATCACGCAATTCTGACTTTATATCTCGCAATTCTGACTTTATATCACGCAATTCTGACTTTATATCACGCAATTCTGACTTTATATCTCGCAATTCTGACTTTATATCTCGCAATTCTGACTTTATATCTCGCAATTCTGACTATATCTCGCAATTCTGACTTTACATCTCGCAATTCTGACTTTACATCTCGCAATTCTGACTTTACATCTCGCAATTCTGACTTTACATCTCGCAATTCTGACTTTACATCTCGCAATTCTGACTATATCTCGCAATTCTGACTTTATATCACGCAATTCTGACTTTATATCTCGCAATTCTGACTTTATATCTCGCAATTCTGACTTTATATCACGCAATTCTGACTTTATATCTCGCAATTCTGACTTTATATCTCGCAATTCTGACTTTATATCTTGCAATTCTGACTATCTCGCAATTCTGACTTTATATCTCTCAATTCTGACTTTATATCTCGCAATTCTGACTTTATATCACGCAATTCTGACTTTATATCTCACAATTCTGACTTTATAACACGCAGTTGTGATTTTATATCTTGCAATTCTGACTATCTCGCAATTCTGACTTTATATCTCGCAATTCTGACTTTATATCACGCAATTCTGACTTTATATCTCGCAATTCTGACTTTATATCTCGCAATTCTGACTTTATATCTCGCAATT